ATTGGGGGAAGGAGAATGGGTTGGAGGTAGAGGATTGCAGGAACCTAGGACCTTGTATAGCAAGTGATAGAAGGCACTGGTATATCTGGTCACATGGAATACCTACCGCAGATCTTATTTTCACCTGTTTCTGAGACCCCAAGATCCATCCCTGGAGATTTTTGTTATTCTGTGGGCTGAGGAGGCTGACTTTGGCCCTAGTATCTGTGGAGTGTACCATTGTGACAGGGCTGGTTCCATGATGTCACTGTTGCCCAGCACCCCTCTCTCTGTGTTCTACTGCAGTTAGAGGCTTACTGACTTGGAGGTTTTTTTTTTTTTTTTTATTTAGGAAGCTCATTCATCACAGGAGGACACAGGTGACTGCAACCTGCTTTCTTCATTTCCTGCTGAGTTGGGGACAGTCCCTGCAAGGTATGTGGCCCTGATTTCTCCTGGCTAATGAGGAAGGTGATATTTGCTGTACCCTCAGTGGAGTCCACTGTATACTGCATATGAATATAGTTGTTTCTGACCCTGTGGGATGGGTGCAAATTTCCCTTTGATATGGATCTGTGGAGGGACATGAGTCCCTGGGGAGCCATTGTAGTCAACAGTGATCTTAGAGCTGTGGGTGCACCAGACTCAGAGACTTCATGACCTATAATGGGATGGTGATGGCCCTTTATGATGGAAAATGTGGCTGCTGGAGGATACTCACAACCCAATCTGTGTGAGGAGCAGTCTTCCTGTGTGTCAAGGAAGCTGGACAAAGACCCTAAGTCTGATGCTCCCTCTGTCCCTATACTTTAAAGAAGTCACCTTTCTGGAAACTAGACTCCAGGTGTCATACACCTGTCTGTGGACCTGAATCTTCCTTTGATGAAATTGACAAGAGCTCTGTGAGGAGTAGTTCCCTTCAGTTATCCAGTATTGCTTTATGTACAGATTTTTGTCCCGTAGCTTTTAGCAGATGTGGGCCCTGAAGGTGTAGTAGGCAAAAGGGTGAACAGACACCATAGCCAAAGATGAGCAGTTACAGACCTGGATACTCCACAAAGGAGGAAGAATCCAACCTTGTTCTATGCCTGTGGCCACAGGGCCCTGGGATCCCTCAGGACAGACAGGCTGCCCTGCTGCCCCAAGACTCCAAGTGCCTCTGGTCATTCACCTGAGTCTTCTTGTTCATTGAAGCATTACAAAGGAGGGAAGCAGGTGGGGCCTAGGGAGGAGAAGGATGTGAGCTGCTGCCTAGTCATAGACAGGTTGGGGATCCTACAGTGAGTCGTCTGTCTGCATCTCACCCAAGTAGTGAGACCATTTTTAGAAACACCTGCCTTGAGATAAGACAGGTCTCCACAGGGTTGGAACCCTGTTTCTGGCTGCCATCACAGTGCGCATCCTGGTGAACATTAGAGTAGAGCTGACTGACCCATTGAGTGACCCAGGGTAACTGGCAGGGATGGAGCTGGATGTGAGGTAGTTGTGGTTTATGCAGTGCTGAGGCCTCTTCTGCATGAGGGGAGGGCCATTCTGAGGTCTCACTCTGTGCCTGATGGAGCTTGCCTTTTTCTGCACCATTATATAGGTTGTGTCCCAGGGTTAAAGGCATCTATTCCTTAATTGTGGCCAATGGTCAGAAAGGAGCCAGTGGGTCCATGAGTCTCAGGGGGTCAGTCTAAAATCTCTTAAAGAAGGCCCAAGGGGAGCCACCATCTTTGAAAAAATATGATCCAGAGAATAAGAATTTCAGGGTAGGCCTTGTAAGTGTGCTTAAGACACAAACAAACATGAAACTGTTTTTTCCTATCTGAGACTACAGTCAAATTATGCAGGTTTCCAAAGCCTGGTGTTTTCCTGGTGTAGTTGATGGAATCATTACAATATAAGATGGAGGTGTCTTCTAACTTGATGTAGGCTTATGAGGCAGCTTTGGTTTTTTTCTTTGATGGATATGCAGGGATGTGCCTGTGTTATGTTCCTGCTTATCTCAAAATCTTTAGTAAGTTCTTGATAATTGTAAAACTTGCTCTGAGGTGTTTTGTGGGAAGTTAGAAAGTCAAATATAACAGTTTAGTTGGCTGGGAGAGCAGTGCAACTTCCTATCTGAGATAGACTGTGGGCATCCTGAAAACTATCCAGGACAGTTTGAAGGACAACTCTATACTCATGAGGGACACTGTGGGCATTGAGGTGGCAATGTATTAGGGTTCTCTGTCCCAACTCAGTGTTGTAAAGGAGGAAAGACAAGAATCAGAAGGATTCCTGGGAAACTCAGATTTAGCTGAGGTAACCATCAAGAGAGGCTAAATTCCAGCAATTATGGTAGATGATATTGACAAGTAATGGTTCAAAGATCATAAAAAATAAGAAAAGCTATATTTTAGCAGATACGGGGTGCACAATAACCTATGAGTCTTTCTAGTTAAATGGCTAGATACACGTTGACATGATTTCGGGTATGTAAGTTTTTATCACTTGAACTAATGGTTCCATAAAACATAGGCACTGTTAAGAATTCAATAAAAATGCTAAAATACATATGCTTATTTCCAACCTGAAGTAATTTTTTCCCATTTGTTCTCAAGCCTCATAGTGAGCAGCAAGATAAAATTGCCTCAAATACACAAATATCATACAAACTTGAATTTATTTGTTTTAAATTTTTATTTTCTTGAAAGGCACATACAGATACAGAGAAATAGTCCAGAATTGAATTTTGAAAAATAAGTTAAATGATTAAGTGTAAATAAAAGAATGGCTATTTTATGATTAATCTCCCCAGGGGTGTTTCCCCCTTTTCTTTTGTTTTTGAAGAAGGGTTTAAGCATATGATGGGCCTGCTCAGCAATGGCTTTCCTGCAGGATTATGGGGAATGCCATGAGTAAGTTTAATATCTCATAATTGACAAAAATGATTGAATGCAGAAGAGATATAGGTGGGCCTATTATCAGTCTTTAATTGAATAAGTTTGTCTATGACAGCCATGATTTTTCTTTTGGAGAAATAGTTTCTTTATAGCAAAGATAAAAGGAAATTTTTATGTATATTTTTTATAATTCATATATTCTTTTTGCCACATTACAAACTTATACACTTTAAGAAAAAAGAAGTAGGGGGCACAAGTAACAAATCTTACATTATGGATAATGCTTTACTTGTCAAGATAAAACTAATGTAAATGGTTTATACCATCATCCTTCCTCCAAATAGATTTTTATAAACAAAAGTCTGGGCTTGATTTATTAAAAAAAAATTGAACACAATGACATAGCAAGTAGATTCTGTGAGAACTGAGCCTGGATCAAGGTATAACTATTTTTAATTAGGCCTCCATCTTGTAACTTGGGCCTGACCAGGCACTGAACTCTGAGCCAGAAGCTCCTAAAAGTAAATAAATGAACTCCCCTTGCAATAAACTCTCCTAGCAACAGCTGATTAACAGATAACAGAGAAATACCTAGAGTTCCTGGTGTCTTCTCAGGGCAGATAAGGTGATTGATAGCTACCCAAGACCCTGCAGTTCAACAAGTACACCCCATCAGCTCAGACCCCATTCTTCGGCCAATCAATTCAAAAGGCATCAACCCCAAAGCCATCCAACCACCTTTTAGTAGGTCTGTTCCCACCACTGGATGCACTAATCAATTCTAAGAGATGTCCTTTGAATTTCCCGTGGGATGAGATGATGTGCTAAATGGTACCATGATGTATAGAATGTCTCTGACACCCTATAAAAACCCTGTTAACTGAAGGGTCGGGGCTCTCAATTCAGACCCACTGCTTCAGTGTTGATTGAGAGTCCAGGTCCAGACCTGCAATAAAACTATCCTGTGCTTTACAGCAGTATCGGCTCCTTGGTAGCCTTTGGGGACAACTGAACTGGGCATAACAATTCTCCTTTAAGTGGAGTTGTCCAAATGTAATCTGAATGGGTATTAATAATAACATGTAAAGGTACCTCCTTCTTTGAAGACCTGTTCTTTCCACTGGGATCTCACTCACAGAGATCTTTCATTTAGGGTGTTTTTTTTTTTTTTTTTTTTTTTTGCCAGAGTGTCTTGGCTTTCCATGCCTGAAATACTCTCATGGGCTTTTCAGCCAGATCGGAATGCCTTTAGGGCTGATTCTGAGGCCAGAGTGCTGTTTAGGACATCCACCATTCTATGAGTCTGCTGAGTATCTCGCTTCCCATGTTGGATCACTCTCCCCTTTATTTATTCTATCGGTTAGTATTAGCAGGTACTAGACTTGTTTATGTGCTTCCTTTGAAAGAAGGAGGTACCTTTCTCTGAAGGGAGGAGAGAACCTCCACTTTGAATATGACCTTGTCTAAACAAGATAAGAGTCGGTGAACTCAAAAGGCTTCCATAGCCTTGGAAACTCATGACTGGTGCATAGGGAGATTACTGATGCCATAAACAGGAGTGTCAATTTCTAAGTCAACAACAGGAGTCACTGTGCACTTACTCCTCATGTAGGATCTCTGTCCTTAATGTGCTGTACATTGAGACTTAATGCTATAATGAGTACTCAAACAGTATATTTCGCTTTGTGTTTCTATGGGGGTGCAAACTGTTGAAATCTTTACTTAATGTATACTAAACTGATCTTCTGTAAAAAAAAAAAAAAAGAAGAAATTAGCAATTCCCAACTTGACTCTCGCTGGGATTAAACAAGACAATAGTCTAGATCTGATTTCATCATCATTTAAAAAATCATCTATTATTTTTCACTTTATGTTTGTGTGGGAGCAAACTGTTGAAATCTTTACTTAATGTATGCTAAACTGATCTTCTGTATATAAAGAGAATCGAAAATGAATCCTCATGTGAATGGAAGGGGAGAGGGAATGGGAAAGGGGAGGGATGCGGGTGGGAGAGACGATATGGGGGGGAAGCCATTGTAATCCATAAGCCGTACTTTGGAAATTTATATTCATTAAATAAAAGTTAAAAAAAATAATAATAACATGTAAATAAGAGAAGGATTTTGACAAAGGACAATGAGTTATTCCATTTGTCAAAGTTCATTGGCATGATGTGTGCTGGCCTGCAGCACAAAGAACCGGGTTTCCTGAAACAGAAAGTGGGAATGAGGGGACAAGGATGCAAAGAATGGAGCCAAGACAAGTCCTGATCAAGGCTCCTTTATTCAACAAACCCAGTAGTATTTAAACATGACCAGTTGTATACAAGAAGGAGCACAAAAGATTTACATATCAAAAAGACTAAAGAGTTCGGATAAGGTTCTTCCTCTTAACAGAGGTGTGACTGATTATCTACATCATCTCTTGTGAGAAGTTTAGCAGTGAGATAAGGTTCTTCCTGTCTCTTCCTGGAATCTCCTTAGCCTAATTGTCTGTGTCTCCATTCATATGTTTAAGTGTAAACAAAAGGGGCGACTGCCTGTGGCTGCCCACAATGATGGCCTTGAGGGTTGACAGCAGCAAAAGGAAAATAATGAGGATGAGGAGTTTGATCACATTGGGAACAATTACAGATTGTTTCAGGAATATCAGGAAGAGGAATTTTAAACTGTTTATGGAGAGATTTAGCTGATTAATGAAAAATTCAGGACTGAAGAGGATCAGTAAGTAGGACACAGACATGTAAAGCTTCATCCACATGTTTGTTGCCTTCTGAAAGAAAACCTGGTAAAGAGGTGTGACTGTGAATATAGCAGCATGTAAAGGGATTGGCATAGCAGAAAGTGTAAGGTTAATAAAAAATGGCTAAGTAAATTAAGATCAATGGCAGTGTTGTGGGAAAACAGCAGCAAAGAAATTATTATTACCATAGATTTTTGTCTCATATGTGTGGGGAGCAACTCGGACTAGACTGTTACTGGAATTAAGACTTATTCTATGCATCTGCTCTCCCACAATATGGCGCTGAGAAGGGATAACAACTTCTACGCAGCTGCCTCTTGCCAACTTGAGTGATGACCTGCAGGAGCTGATCCTGCTCCTGATTGGAGGAGAAGCAGCTTACTTGGTGTGTGGGTAGCAGAGTTGGGATTGGTGGAAGAGGACTATAAAGGAGGAGAGAGACAACATGCACCAGGAACATCTAAAGGGAACACCTGAGCAGCCCCCGAGAGAGCCGGCCGGTGGTGTGCCGCTCCCCAGCGGAAGTGGGGAAAGTGGCAGGGGGAACCGCCCTTCCACGGAGGTGGAAGGGTCAGTAGCCAACCCGGGAAGAACCAGCAGCAAACCCGGGAAGGGCCGAGCAGACGAAAGAACAACGCAGGGTCTAGTGTCGCTCCTCCACGAAGAGAGGGAGCGACAATATGGAAGAAGAATTTCCAAGCTGATAAGGCAAAGAGAAAAGCAATATTTAAAGGTTTAAAAGCAAGATTTACTAGAGTCAAAGACCTCCAGCCAGAATGACATGAAAGGGGGCTGTAACAGAAGCAAAACCCAAGAGATTCCCTGGCACCAGCACCAGAGGTTTTTTAAGTACAATTTCTTAAGTACAATTTTAAAGGAAAAAAACTTGACAGATTGGCATTCAGTTAAGAGGCAGGGACAAAACCCATCAAAAGACCCAATTTACAATCCTTTTCTTATCTGGCTTGCTTATGATAAAATAAAACAAACTACAAAAAAAAAAAATCACAAGGGTGGGATGCCTAATTTGTTTTCACAATAAACTGTGAGCTCAGGAGCTCACTACTTGCCTACTATTCTCATGGTAAATTTGTGAGATTCCAAAGACTGGGCAGGCAGGCACTTCTGACCTTGCTAAGGATGATTCTTTGGAGAAAGGAAGCATTTTACACCCCCAATTCCACTGAGACTACACTGATTGCCTATTAACTTATCTGACTTCTCACAGCCAGACTAATTTAAGCATGTGGTAAATGAAACAATAAATTATATCAAGAATCAGCAATAAAATTAAAGGGTTGATCTTTAAAGAACCCTAAGGCCAAAATAACTGTTTTATTTAGATCTCCTGGATTTTTATTTGGGAGATCATCCATTCTACCTTGCTGAGGGAACAGGGGGGTATTTCTTCTTTTTGCAACAGGACAATAAGGTTAATGAAAAGTGTCCCAGGATTTCCTTGGACCTGGGGAACAGTCATGTGGGTCCTTTCTTGAACGATGAGCACTTCTTTGCCAGGATTGTTACAAAATGTGTAGTCTACCTTTATTTTTCATTAACAAAACTTTTTTTTAAATATGATTACTGGCCTTAAATTTAAGTAATTCTGTTGCACTAAAGATCAACTTTAAGGCAAAAGGATCACAGTTAATGTGCTCATGGTGGGGACCATACTTCCCACTCTGTTTCTTAAGCATAGTATTAAGGTCCTGCATGGGAAGTTAGTGCACAGTGACTCATGTTGTTATTTAACCATTAACACTCTTATGTGTGACATCAGTGACCACCCAAGGCTCTTGACATGAGCTGCCTAGGCTCTGAAAGCCTTCTGAATCTAAAGACTCTGTCAAAATTCAAACAAGGCCATAAGCAAAGTGAAAGTTCTCTCCACCCCACAGAGAAAAGTAGTCCTTCTTTGATGACCATTTCTTCCACTGGAGTCTCACCCAGGAGGTTCTCCATGCAGGGACAACTTTTCCCACAAGTGTCCTGGCTTTCCACACCTGACATACTCTTGTGAGCCTTTTAGCCAGACCAGAAGACCAGGATGCCTTTAGGGCTAATTCTGAGGTCACAGAGTGTTACTTAGAGCAATTGCCATTCTATGAGTCTGCTGTATGGACTGCTTCATATATTGGAGCATTTACTCCTCTATAACACTATTAATTCTCTTGCTATGATCAGTTTAACAATTAGTCCCATCTATACGACCACTTTAAAACTTAATCCAATCCAATAGGATCATTTTAAAACAATCTAGGGCTGGCACCGCAGCTCACTAGACTAATACTCTGCTTGTGGCACTGGTACCCCTGGTTCTAGTCCCCATTGGGGTGCCAGATTCTGTCCCGGTTGCTCCTCTTCCAGTCCAGCTCTCTGCTATGGCCTGGGAATGCAGTGGAGGATAGCCCAAGTGCTTGGGCCCTACACACATATGGAGACCAGGAGGAAGCACCTGACTCCTGGCTTCAGATCAGCACAGCGCGCCTGCCATAGCAGCCATTTGGGGGGTGAACCAACAGAAGGAAGACCTTTCTCTCTGTCTCTCTCTCTCACTGTCTAACTCTGCCTGTCCAAAAAAAAAAAAAAAAAATCTAATCTGTATAATTATATTAAAACTTAAGATGTCACTTTCACTATCTAGCCCAAGGGGATTTGAGATCCCATGGTGAAGTAAATTTAGTTGTGAAGTTACAATTTAAGCTTTTATTTTGGCTATGCTATTATGTAGAGAATGTTAGCCACTCCTTTCATAAGATCTAAAAATCAAACTGTACATCTTGGAGAATCCCTCAGCACAGAGTCAGTTTTCCATCTTAAATAGGGAATAGAGAGAAATGAGGGAACAGTGATTACAACCATTAAATAACAGCTTATGAAAATATTCACTAGGATGTCCAATGCCTTTTATACATTTTAATACATATGTTTGGAAATATCTCTTAAATATCTAACACAGTGTAGCTTGCTTAACCAGCAAACTTGAGCACACATATATGAAGCATTTTTAGTTTCTTTCTACCAATAGATTTAAAACGTCTGACAAAGAGATTTAGGTCACATTAATCAAATGTATCTGATTAATTTAGCAGTTTATGAGCAATCTTTCATTTATAAGTCAATTAAGACAGAGCTCTTACTAAATTTCCTATGTAGGTGTACAATATATACCACATATACACAACATACAAGACAGAACAATGAAGCAGTTTTGTTAATAGTTTCCTAAAATCTTTAGCTGTTTTTATTATCATCAACCATTTAGAAATTACTTGCTGCTCTTAATATCTAAATTAGCCAAACTTTTGTGAAGTTGGCTTTATCTGTTTACAGAACTGTCCCAGAGTATTGAACACAATAGAGGTCATGGAAAAAGAGGTCCTTTAAACCTAAAATGATACATTTAAGCATAGAACCAACAATGTTTTAGTTTCATGAGCAGCAGATATGGTATATAAAACTGTGGATAACAAAAAAATTTAAGTAGGCATGTTTAAAATTATAAACCTATTAACCAATAAGAGGTGCTTGCTTACTCCATACAATATTTTTTTTAAAAAGCGCTTATAGGATTTTGTAAGAGAAATAACCCTTTTAGGCCTCTGGGCCTTTCTCGTTAAAAATAACCATCATATCTAGTAACACAAGAATCATTAGACTTTAACCTTTAGACATTTGTATTGGTAGCATTTTATATTATCAAAATTTAAAATTTAGCACCACTTCATATCTTGATAGTACTTCTAATACAACCCAAATAGCCTGATGATTTGGTGTCTCTACAAGATGAGAGACATGTCCTTTGATATTTCCAGGTGCCTATCTGGAAATACCAAGTCCAAAATTTTTGGAACTGAATTTTGAATGCCTGCCAATAATACCAAGAAGGCTCAAAAATCCAAAATATCTGGTCGAAATAGGATCCCTTTACATCATGACATCATATAGACAAAATTTGATCATTGTTATAAAGTGATTATATGTGTTTCAGAATAATATGTATTTAAACAAATCATAACCCAAATAAGAATTCAGCTGTTTTAAAAAACAATTAGAACCTAGCAGAGACATTAAGATAACATATAGATTAACTTAAACACAAAATCTGCATCTCTTTGGTTGTTCCAAAAGTGATAAATAAAACCTTAAATTTAAGAGCTGGTATATTGAATCAAATCCCATAACTTGGATGTTTAAACAGAGTCAGAACTAGGGAAGAGAGAATAGCTTACTGGAGCTGGCTAGAAAACTGAGCAGAGTCCCCGATTAAACAAAGCTATCAAAAGGAGATGCTGCAGGTTTTTAAATAGATTTTTAGCAATATTTTGGAATATTTACTAACATATGCATTGTAAAGTCTTCATTGCTGTACCAGAGGATCAGATTTTAGTTCTATGTCAAATAGATAAATAGACATACTTTTGAAATAACCCTCTAGGATTCCCCACATTAAGACAACACTTTTTAAAATACAGTAACATCAAATTTCAAGCCTAGGTTATTTCCAAGTGGTGTTGAACTATTTTCATATGGACAATTTATGAAAACGTGTTAGCAAGCCCAAGTGGCTTTTCTATATAGACACATTCATCTCATTAGCTTTACCCAATTTTACATTTAGCACTTACACCTAAATGACTTATGATGCTGATAGTATATTATATTATATTATATTATATTATATTATATTATATCTCTATCTGAACTTAATCAAAGTCAAAACTGCATTTATCTATAACTAGTAATGATTATTTATTGCTGTTTTCATCATTGATTACCCATTTCTATAGCACTGGAAACCTTTTAAAATATATATTGCAAAATAAGTTTGGCACGTTTACAAAGCAATAATTTTGAAGGCAGCGATACTGCTGGATTCAAAGAGAGAAATTTTCTTGGTATTCAGTTACAAGGCGGGGACAACCTGTGACAGTAACTATAGGGTTAAATTGAAAAATCTTTCTCATCTGTGTCTGTATTTGGCAGCAGCAGGTTGGCATAGGAGCCTGAAGAGCCATGGGAGCCCAGGTTGGGGCTGATGGTAGTGCCCGTTCCAGCAGGAACACCAGAGACAAGTTTTGGGGAACATGTCCATTTATTACAGCTACATACGCTTTTTAAAGAGCAGGGAGAAGGAGCATAACTAACTCAGGGGAACACTGACTATAGGACAGAACTGATACTGAGACCACATGCCTCTCCACTCAGCTTTTCTGGGGGGCCTAAAGGGCCAGGACCACACCTGGAGCAGTTTACCTGATTGGCAGAAGGTGAGGGTGGGGAGAAATGTGCCTGGGCTCAGGCTAACTGCTGGGATGACCCAGAGAGATCTATTTTCAATTGACTTTATACCACAGTGCTGGCCCCCTTTGCCCATTTCTTAACTGGGTGTTGTTTGTTTTGCTGTTGTTTTCTCTTTAAAATTTTCCCTGAGACTGCACTCCTTCCACTTGTTAAAACTATCTTCTACTAAGTAAAGCAGCAAGCTCCCTCCCTACTCTGCCATCCAGAGTAATCACATTGCTTTTATGATACTCAAATTAACCAGTATTTCTTGTATTTTTTAATTTAATAAGTCAGGCAGAAATGAAAGAATTTCATTGTGATCAATAAGAGTGCATCAAACATTAGACAAAAAGCTTACCATTGTGGGCTGGCATCGTGACATAACACATAACATTGTTACCTGCAACACTGGCATAACACATGGGTGCTGGTTTGTGTCCTGGCTGTTCCACTTCAGATAGATCCCTGCTGATAGACTGAGAAAAGCAAAATCTTCTGAATAGTACAGATGAAATCAGAGGAAAAAATGACCCCACTACATGAGAGGCCTGAACAATGCTTCCTTTGCAGTTATGTGCTCCAGTAGATGCTATGAGAAGGCAGTGTGGCCTTCATGCCCTGTGGGTCACACATTTTCTGCAGGCTGAAGAGAGCTAACTTATATTTGGTACCTTCTATGTGCAAAGAAGTTCAGACATCTCTTACTTGCCACTTTACCTAATTAGCTTCACCTGGAGCTCTGGGCTCTCCTGTCTTAGTTGATTGCCTGGATACCCAACACATTCTGTGTCTACCTCCATCTTTGGGGACATATGAGCACATGGGAGGGTGAACACCTTCTGTGTAGCATGAAAGTAGCCATGGATGCACATGGGCATGTGTGAGCACCTTTGTGTACCAGGCACACATTGATGCATGTAATTTCTATGTGTAAACACATTTTTACCAGGCACATGTCTGTGTATTTACGTGTACACAGGAGTACCTTCTGTGTACCAGGCACACATCCATGAATGCACATGTGCTTGTGTGAACACCTTTGTGTACCAGGCACACATCTGTGCATGTACATGTCTGCCAAGACATTGTGTACCATTCACATGTTTGCATGCACACACATGTATGTGTGTGTGTATGTTAGCACCTTTGTGTACTAGGCACATATCCTGCATGCACATGTGCTTTTGTGAACACTTCCATGTACCAGGCACACATCTATGCATATAGGTTTGCCTATATGAACCCCTATGTGTGCCAAGTGTCTTTACATGCAGCAGCCTCCCACACTCCCTCTGAGGGTGATACTACTATTTTTTCCATTTTTTAGATGAGCAAAAAGAGAGGGTAAGCCTCTTGACTAAGATACCTCAGCTGCAGTGAAGAACCCAACACTTCATTGTCCAAGCACTTAAGCCCAAGTACTTGAGTCCCAGTGTAGACCACTCCACTCACATAGTAAGTGACATATCAAATAGTCCTTGCCCCCAACTCATCTGTATCCCCAGCACTGATCCCTAAACTCTCAGGAAAGGATTCCCTCTTGTTGACTAAGTCACTCCCATCAGTGACAAATATTTGTCAAAATGAGAAATAATTGACAAATTTTCTCATCAGCCATTTTGTTCAGTTCACCAAAGTTTGGTTACTGGCCTCACTTCACTCAAGAAATCTCTGGTCCAACAATCTCTCTGTCCAAATGAGAGCTTCACCAACGTGCTGATTCCCAAGCTGCCTGCAGCATCAACCTCACCCTCCTGCCTATTCAGGCTCTTTTGCTCTTGACTTTTACTGTTGCCAGTCTCTTTCACCACATAAGGTCAAGAGGCTGTCTCCTAACACAAGACCATAAAGCACAGATTCTGAACTTTCTCCCACTGTCCATGGGCCACACTTCTTAAAACCTAAAACTTCTTTCATGATACCCCTCTCTTCTCATTATAACAAGAATCTTAAGTCCAAATTCTTGGCCCTGAATCCTAGCCATCTTCACTCAGTCCCCTCACTTTCCTTCCAAACATCCTTCCCTCAGCTTAGCTGTCACTGCCCCAGCTCCACACTTGGCTGTGCCCTGGACAATGCTACTGCCTCTCTGACTTCTGCTAGCATCCAACACAGGCCTCCACTCCCTTAAACCATTCCCTACAGGGATTTCTCAGGTAGTTCAGATCTTGTACTCACACTTTTGCACATGATTTACTTCTTAGAAAGTATTATTTAATAAATTCAGTTGCTTTCTAAAGTATTGAGATCATTCTGAGTTTTATTATCTTTGTGTAAACTTGCATATAATTGTTATTGCCATTTTGTGGCATTTAATGTAGTTTTAAGATAATAACTTCACAATGCATATTTGCAATTCAAAATTTAGGAGGAAGGCATTGTCATATTCACTTTTTACATAAGACACATGAGCTCATGGGGTCTGCGCTATGGTGCAATAGGTTAATCCTCTGCCTGCAGTGCTGGTGTCCCATATGGGCACTGGTTCTAGTCCTGGCTGCTCTTCTTCCAATACAGCTCTCTGCTGTGGCCTGGGAAATCAGTAGAAGATGGTCCAAGTCCTTGAGCCCCTGCACCTATGGGAGACTGGGAAGAAGCACCTGGCTCCTGGCTTGGATTGGCACAGTTCTGGCCATTGCAGCCATTTGGGGAGTGAACCAATGGAAGGAAGACCTTTCTCTCTGTTTCTTCATCTCACTGTCTATAACTCTACCTCTGAAAGTAAATAAATAAAATCTTTAAAACTAGACACATGAGCTCTCAAAGAGGTTAAGTTACTATCCAAGATCACACAGCTAGTAGATTGTAGACCCAGGAATTGAACATCAAAGGCAGTGTTAAGATGGAAGTTTATAGCAACCAGTGGCTACATCAAGAAACTTGAAAGACATCAAATAAATGATCTAAGGATGTATCTCAAGGACCCAGAAAAACAAGAACACACCAAACCTACTTGGAGGAAAGAAATAATTAAAATTAGAGAAGAAATAAACAAAATTGAGGCCAAAAATATAGAAAAGATCAGTGATGAAGCTGCTTTTTGGAAAAAAAAAAAACACATTGGCCCAACTAACCCAAGAAAAGGAAGAAAACCATATTGAAAATTGGAGATGAAAAAGGATTATAATGAATATCACATATAAAAAAAGAATCATCAGAGCCAGCACATGGCGTAGCAGGTAAAGCTGCCACCTGCAGTGCCGGCATCTGATATGGGTGCTGGTAAGAGAATGATAAAATAATATCACTTATGAACATAGATGCAAAAATTCTCAACAAAATACTAGATAATCGACACATCAGAAAGATCACTCACCCAGACAAACTGGGATTTATCTCTGGTATGTAGGGATGGTTGAACATACACAAATCAATAACTGTAGTACATCACATTAACAAATTGAAGAATCAAGGCTATATGATTATCTCAGTAGATGCAGAGAAAGCATTTGATAAAATACAACATCCCCCAAAACTGGAAGTTATATGAGGGCAGAAGCCATTTTCTCCCTTTCATGTCTTACATCATCCCTCACTCCATCCCAACATCAATGGTGGTAGTTCAATATATGTTCTCTAATATGTACCATAGCAAGTAAATTAAATGTGTTCCTAAAACTTATCGAGATTTTCCTGCATGCTAGCCTCTATTTTAAGCACTTTAGAAAGATTAACTCCACTATTTCTCACATAAATCTTAAGAATTATAGAATTTTATTACCCACATTTTACACATAGAAAACAGATTCATTAAGTAAGCCTGTTAAGGAAAAGGAAACTGGCAGAGCCAGAATAAAATCCCAGGTGGTTGAGTCCATGTTCCATGCTACTACTCAACATTGGCTCCGAAGGGGCCTATTTACTGAGCTTTGTAACTGTGTGGCCAGGTTCTAATAACCTGAATTCTGTTTTGGAAGAGCTCAGTTCTTTGTTTCAGCTGAAGTTTCTGTAATTTATTCTTTCCCACAAATAGAGCATAATCAAGCCATCTGCAAATGTAAGAAATGTGCAGCTCTGGCAACACAGAAATTCAGTTCCTTGGGGTTGCATTCCCATGGGTCAGTGAGGCTGGCAGGAAAGCTGTCCAACCCCAGGATGGCAAAGTGTGGGCTGCCACAAAGAACTGCAGCTCTGCATCTCATTGTTTATTCTCTTCTGTTCTCCCTCATCTATCTCTCTCCCCTCCTTGCCAATATGAATCAGGAATTGTCATTTCTCTGAAGCAGCAATGCTTAACATACTGTGAGGCCTTCACTGGGATTTAAAATTGGGAATGTATACCATTTTGGAAATCTGGAATGCACATAATAGGAAGCTAAAAATGCAGCTGGGAAGGAGGCAAGGGTGAGTGTCCTCAGCAGCTGCTCTGAACCCTGACTGCACATTGGAATCACATGGAACACAATTATAAAAATACTATGCCTAGTTCCCACCCCCAGAGACTCTGACCAGATTGAACTCAGGTTTACCCTGGAGATCAATGTGTTTTAAAAGCTTCCTAGATGATTCTAACATTCACCAGGGCTGAGAATGTCTGATCTAGGGTTACTGTTGTGGTCAATGTTCATTCACAGATGTCTTTCTTCAAAGGTGAGCAGAATCCATGTTATGAATCACCAAGTTCAATTTGTATGCATCACTGCAATCTCAGAGACATTGTGTGTGCTTTGTTCTAAGCCTGGTGTGCCCAGAGGAATCATTCATTTCTGGAAGTATTGTAATCTAGAATCCAAATTCCAGCCCACCTGTTTGTCTGAATGTGTGTCTCCCTTTATTGATGAATCTTGGATACCTGGCCCAGGCAACCATCATGGAAGCAATGTCTTCTTTTTAAGCAAGCACATGCTAGAGTAGGTCAGGTCTGGCCAGCACTCACTACAGGACAGTTCCCCTCTCTGAGCCTACAAAGAGAAGGAAGTAGGAGACTTTGAGCATTTTATTCAACCTAAATGTAAGCTTCCCTAGGGATGTGCTGGACCTGTTATTACTGACTCATTAGAGTTAATTGTGTGTATTTTCCTCTCCTCTTCACTTTCAGTGCTTTTGTGTTGGCAGTAGGTATAATATACCAGAGAAATATGCAATAGCTTCTTTTTTTCTTCTGGGAGTCTGATTGTTAAACATGAACATGCCACTGCATTTACCCAGAAATAGCTCTCTAAAGAGAAGTGAAATATAGGCAGTGATTTCTGGCCTTCAGTCTCCACGTTGCACCTGTTTCTGCAATGTGCTCACCACCTTTTCTCCAAAGACATCCAGGAATTATCAAGTTTCTTTGCACATCACACTATATGTAATCATATCAAAATTATCTGAATATTTATTTAGAATAAAGTATAAAAGTCTTAGAATGACTCAAAATGTGACATTATCAGGAAAATGTGCATTTTGACAAGGCTTACACATTTAAATAAAATGATTGAGTCTCACAAGGAAATATGAGACATCAATCAATGTATACAGTGAATTTGGGAAGAGGCTCTAAGGCCTTCCCAGCATCCATGCAACTGCCTAAGTGGGAAATTGTCACCTCTGCCAAGTGTGTAAGACAACCCTATTTATTCTCCAACATGAGTCAAGCCACTTTGCCTTCCTTCTGTGAGTCAGAATGCTTTCTACAACCATTCTGTCAGCTACCTTGAACTTCACTATTCTTGTGTCATCACAACAAGCTGTTGAGGACATAGACCAAAATGGGAAGAGCTGCAGTTCTAATGAAATTGGTACTGTGGATTCTATTAGTCATGATATCTGGCTGGCAGTGTTACTACTTCAAAGCCATGGTCCTTCAACCCATGGAACTGAACATGTCTTGGGATTCCTCCCACTTCCTTCTCCCAGGATAACAGTAACAACTACTGGCAGTCAATTATGAACCAAGCACTGTTCTATCTCCTTTACATATATCTTATTTAATTTTCCCCCAAATTCTAATTATTCCCATCTTACATATGTAGAAAATAAGGCATAGGTTAATTAAGTAATGAGCTCAATTAAAAGCTGAAAACTACAGAGGGAATTTGGGTTTTTGAATATGGTTGTCTGACTCCAGAGCCCATTCTCTCAGCTATCCAATCACACAAACTCATATATTGATATTTAATTATAGTGCTTGTAGTCTGTTGTTTTAGGTATCATACACTACTTGGCACAGAGTGACATATCTGAAGACCTTGTCAAATTCCTTTTTAAATATTTGTTTTATTTATTTGAAAGGCAAAGAGAGATGGAGAGATAGAGATCTTTCATTCACAGATTCACTCCCCAAAGGCCAGGGCTGGGCAAGACTGAAGCCAGGATTCACGAGTTTCTTCCAGGTCTCCCACATGGGTGCAGGGGACCAAAGTCTTTCACATGGGTGCTGCTTTTTTAGGTGCATTAGCAGAAAGAGATTGGAACTGGAGCAGCTGGGATTTGAATCATTGGTCATATGGGATGCTGACATTGCAGGTGGCAGCTTAACCCATTAGGTCACAATGCTGATCCCTTCTCATCTTCTGACATGCTGTCAGCATCTCTGCAGGGCAACTTCCTTTCCTGGTGAAGGTGGATGGGATACGAGAGCTCAATTTTTCATTTTGTTGATGCATGGAATATTTGTGCACACTGTTTTTTTTTCCTAGAAATGAATTTAATGACAACACAACATATGAAAACCTATGGGATACAGCAAAAGCAGTGTTTAAGTTTAGAGCAATTAGCACCTGCATCAAGAAATTGAAAAGGCATCAAATAAATGATCTAACAGTGTACCTCAAAGACTAGAAAAATAAGAACAAACCAAACCCTAATTAATAGAAAAAGAAATAATTAAAACTAGAGAAGAAACAAAATTGACACAAAAATTAATAAAATGAAGAGCTGGATTTTTTAAAAAATAAACAAACTAACTAGAAAATAAAGGGAGAATACTTAAGTATTTTTTAGAGTTATTTATTTTAAATTTTAAATTGTGACACAAAGAGAGCATGCTCCCATCCATTGGTTCACTACACTCCTGAAATCCCCACAATAGCCAGAAGGCCAAAAGTGGGAACTCAATCCAGGTCTCCCACATAAGTGGCAGCTTAACAACTGGCCTGCTGTCTCCCAGGGAGACAGGAAGCTGGAGTTGGGAGCTGGGAGTCAAACCCAGGCACTCTAATGTGGGAAGCTAATTTTCTAAGTGCAATGCCAAACACTCCTATTTAATTTAGAGTAACATATGCCTAGGGATGATAAAGAGTAGACTAGGAAATGTAGCACTCCACATTTAACATGCAACTATTAAATCACTTACAGTCCCCATCACCTTTCTGAGAAATGGTGGTAGTAATGGATGTCTTACCTAGCTTGGGCAAAGCAATATAAGAGATCACCTTCAAAACAAAAAGGTAAATTTATAATTACTATGCTGATTTTGGGGACAGATTATGTGTGACTTGTGTATTTCTAAAGCAGAGAGATTAGTTAGCCCAATTAATAATTACTCAAATAGGGAGACAGTTACCTGGATACTCTATTGTGCTATGCTGATCAAAAAAAGGTTCACATTTCCTTGGTTTTCCTCTTATCATTTCTAATCTAGTGTGATGAAAAAGTCAGTGGTTTCTTTTTGCCTATATTAAAGATGACAAGTGTTTGATTCTACCAGAATTAATTTGCAACTAAAAGGAAACATTTCTTGGAACCTTTCATTGTTACAGTTTAAACTTTCTTTTAAAACATAACTTTCTATAAGTTAAAATTAGCATCTTCATAGATACTAGCCAAGTCACTTAATCAAATATTAATATCAAAACGATATGAGGAAGTTGGAAATTTATTTATGTTTCTTATTTTGCTGTAGAGCTGCTGCTTCACTGCATAAAACAGCACCAGCAAATGCAGTATATTGCAAAAATTACGATACTATTGTTCTTTTCTGGCACTGTACAACTAACAAAAACTGTTGTGTATTCCCAGTTACTTCCAATGGAAAGATCATTACATATTTTGACCCCAATCCAGGGATGAGTGTAAGCAAGTTACAATATTATTAAGGCTTAAGATAACAATGTTATCCTTGAATTACATTATTTGTAAAACTAGCTTTTACCACAGATAACTTCATGTATTCTGAATACCAGTGCCTAGGGCCTAGTATAAAAATCACAAGGTACTGTGAAAAAGATGCATTACAAAGTTAGGGTATATTTTCTTCCAGTAGCAGAGTTGAAAGTAGTATTTCTCCATCAAGATTGCTTAAAGTTGCAGAAGCAAGACTATGACCCTAGAATCCTGACAGAAGAAGCAAAGCAGCTTCAGAGAGCAGTGATGAGGATGCGTTGCCTTTGAGCCAGGTGATTAAATCCCTCTGATTTTTGCTGATGTTGGTTATAATCTAGCTGGTCCAGCTGTTACCTCTGTGCAAACCTAGGCTGAGAATTTCCCGAGGAAGATCTGGACCTCACAGAGCACAGCAAGCAACTTATAAATAGTATGAATGGAGGCACAATCCTGATAATACAGAACTTTGCTCTTGCCGTTAAAACCATTGCAGTACCCCCTGACCACCCAAGGCAGTCCCTGGGTCCAGCACCCACCAGGAGTCAGCTGAGTATCAGAGGCAAGAAAAAGGAGGTAACATCCACACAGGTGCAAACATCTATTTTCCTTCCTGCTTACCAAGCTGTCCTGAAGCTCCTTGTCAGAAATGCAGTGAGGCTTAGCCTCCGACAACCAGTCTTCAAATGGGGTGGTGCTGTGGGAAAATATCTGGTCTGAATCCCGAGTGCCCCTGTCCAGGTCACAGTCCCCCAAAAGCTTGGAAAAACAAAGGGTCAGCAGGCCACTGTCCTTCCATCAGGGAACCCCAAAACCAAAGACCTTGGAGCTCAGACAATAGTGAGAAGAGCAGAAACAGTTCTTCATGGAGGCAAGGGGCATCTGAAGGGCCCTGATGGCCAACTCAGCCCCCAGGTTGGGTTCAAACCCCACTGGGAGGGGGTAAATTAGAGAATAACCCTGGACTTACCCTGCCTGTTCTCTGGAGTCGAAGGCAACTCCCAGGTCAGACATCAACCTTCCAGTTACCTCTACTCTGGCCACTAGCTTCCCTAGATATCAAGGATCAGACACAGTCCCAACAAGCAGGGATCATGTTTCCTGATGCAAGTTGAAAAGAGGCCACATAAAACACCACACCTCCAAAGCCCAAGAAATTGGCCATGGACTCCAAACACAACCCTCCAAATCAACAGTTCCCACCATCTCCTGCAACAACCTGGCCCATGAGTGAAAGTGAAACCAGATGCACACCTTGGTGGTGAAGGTCCTGATGGTACTGCTGAAGCAGTAAAGAATGAGGCATGGACATCACCAAGATCAGAAAGAATCATCACAGGAGCTGCAAAGCAGAAGCTTCGAGGTCTTGTTGGCAACTAGGGCCCAGGAGCAAGCAGAAACAGAAGCTGATTGCTGGGGAGGTGGAGATGGTGCTGATTCCCAAGAGCGTGCCTCCAGGACTCCCAAGGTAAAATAAAAAAGAGTGCAAGTGGCAATGGCAAAGTAAAAAGGAAAGGGGTCTAAGAATCTAATCTAAGAAGGAAAGACAAAGGACAGGATAAAATGGAAAAGAAGAAAGCAAAATAAAACCCTTATCCAAAGACCCCAAGTCATCATCCAGAATAAGGAGATGGCAGACAAGTAGGTGTTGTGCCGTAGGTGCACAACCAAGTGGTGACCATCCTCATGTCTATGGGCTGGAACTACATTTTTAAAATCCTTTGTCTCATAGCAAAGTCTGGCCAGCCTCAGGAGCTCCATGCTGGGCAAGCTAGGGAGCCATAGGGGAGGCTGGTCCTGTGTTACTTTTCCTAACACAGGATGTTTTGTATAGATGTGCTCAGTGTGTGTGTGTGTGGTGCATGTGTGTTTACTCATTAAAGCCAACATGCCCAATGACC